TATATATATATATGTTGGTTTGGAAATTGTTATAGTTAAGTGTGATTTCAAAAATTAAAATCTTGAATAATAATGACATTTTCAGATATTGAGAAGTGTAATATGTTTATATTGTACTATCAAATCAATGCAATTGCAATTCTATTCATACACTTGCGGAATGTAGAAAACCTTCGCTAATAAACTCAGCTGTTGTTAATAAAATAGGTACCTACCTAATGTTAACAGAATTTTAAATTATGTAAATAAGAAAAATTAGCAAAACAGTGAGAGATTGAAGTGAACTACAATATAGAGAAGGATAGAGCAAGAAGGATATTACGAAAAAATGGTTTCAAATGTTATAAGGTGAAAACAGTGCACCTTTTGAGCTTGAGGGAAGAAGATAAACCGAGGAGATTAGGATTCTATAGATGGTGACAAAAAAGAAAGAGGGAAAATCCCTTTATATGCAGAAGAATTCTCTTGTCAGATGTGCCTAATTTTTGTAACAATGGATTTTTTAATAGGATCAATTACTTCAAATGGACTAATGGCAATTTACATTGGCACGGAAAAACTGCATTTCAACAGAGGTTTTGGTTAGGGTTAGAATTCTTGATGCCAAACTCATAGGACCTTACTTCTATGATGGTAAACTGATGGGTGCCAGGTATTGCAGATTCTTAGCTTTAAAAAAGTACATCATATTCATAAATTTTTTTGTAGTTGGCCTGTTTAAATTATAAAAATGTAATAAATATAAAAGATAGAGGCAACATGTAGTACATCGCATGAAAGAGGAAAAAATAAGCAATTCTTTGTATCCACAGCTTGCTTCGATGACAATTTTTTTTTGTCCGCGTAGGGGGCGCAACAAATTGCATCCGAAACAAAAATTTGTTTACACCAGGTGATAGATATCAATTTTGCCAAGAAATTTTATTAAAATAAGTTTTCTCTATCTCTTAAAATAAAAAAGTTAGACGGTCCTAAACTTTCGGTACTTTTCCAGTTTTTTCATGATTTCTCATAAAGTTGGCCATGGATCTCAAATTTGTTTTTACAAGCATCAAGGCCTCAAAAAATGCAACAAAAAACATATAAAGATTCTTGACGTAGATCGTGTATTACGCGAGATACATAGGAGTGGCCCTCTTATAGTAGACAGCCTGTATAGTGTCAAAAAAGATTTTTACAGTCCACAATAAACCATATAAGCGGTAAAAACATAACAGTTGTTCCGATACTTGCACTAGAGTAAATTTGCTCTTATTAATTTAAAATAAAATAAAGACGCAATTTTTGATCGGGAAATTAAATTTGATAGACAGATTGAAAAGAAAACAACTCCTGCTATGTTTTTTCGTTTCTTTCAATAACTTTGATTTAATTTATTCTGAATTAATGTTGGAAAAAGGAATGTTTTGACAAAATAATAAATGAATGAAGTAAATTGTAACGCTAAAATTTTCAAAGGCGCCGTAATATAATACACAAAATCCCTACGTTTTATGATGAATAAAAGCAATATCAATTTATCTGTCGATCAGTCAGTTATAAATATTTCACGTCTGTCTGTCAAAACCTTAAAGAAAACGATTTCCAACTTTTCTTTTAGCCGTGCAATCAAACCTGTCTAGGCACTCACCTCGAGGGGGATCATGATGAATGTCACGATGAGGTCGGCGATGGCCAGATGTCGTATCATTAGGCTGATTCTCGATTTCCGATGCCTGGACCGGAACAGGGAGATGAAGACGGTTAAATTGCCCACCGCTGCGACGACGAATAGAGCGCAATACACGACGGTCACGGAGAAGTTGGGTTTCAGGAGGGCCTCGGACGACACCTGGGTTAAATTGGACTCGGGGAGGACCTTTTCGGCACAGAATGGGCTGCAGTTCAAGGTCAGGTTGGCGGAGAGGCCTTCCTCGACGTCCCGGTCCATTTCTATCTGCAAATATATAGATGTCACTACCGGATATATCTCACTGACAATAGTTGACGGTATTATAACAAGAAATAAGCTTATTTTATTGATTTTTAGGGTGTTCCATTTAACAGGAATTCTTCTGTAAGTCTGCAGCCATAAAATTTGTAAAAAAATGGATGGTTGTAATAAAAGTTGTGAGATGCGAGCAATCATGTAGGCCATGTAAAGAAAATATTTTTATCTTTACAGGGTGTTCCATTTCGCGTGGGCGCTACATAACTTTGTTATTTTAATTGGAATCCACATGGTCCATCTGCCTTTACATGAGAGCGACAAAGTAAAGTAAAGAAATCCGTGCGATAGACAAGGATGGAAGTGGAAGTGACAAGGAATGGAGTGAAGACGTTTCATAATCTGAATAGTCACGGCCCGTTTCGGGTTAGAAGTGGCAGTGACTATAGTCTGTTTAGAAATGAAAGAGAGTAATAAAAGCTCATTATGTATGCAAATCGTAAATAAATGTAGTACTAGTGCTTATATTCAATATTTTTATATTATGTTTTATCTGTATAGAAGAGGTGTACTTTTAAAAAAACTTTGTGCGATCGGACTGTAGTAAATTGTAGCAGGTAGCTAAAATTTAATCCCCGACAATCCGTCTTTGTCTATGCCGCTTCAATTTCTCGGTCCATTTCTCTTATAAGTAAACAATATAAAAACAGCATTTCAAAACATGAGGCTACTTTAAGCATCATAACCGGGTTAAGAGGGTTTTTAGTAATTCAAATAAAATTATTCAATATTATTATCAAAATATTTATTTAAATTTAATGAATAGACTTTTATTCCACACAAAAATATATGTATTTTGAAAATTCAAATTATGGTGAGTAAATGTAGTGTTGTATAAATGTACAATAAAGAAAATAAAAAAGTAGGTATATTAAAATTCATCCTCTGAATATTCTGATGAATTATCTTCGTCTCCTAGATTGATAACGATAGGTTCCACAGTAACGTCAATTAAATTATCGAGTTCCCACATTTTCTCCTCTTCTTTTTGTACATGATGTATACATCTTTGCCAGTTATCTGCAGTTACTCGTTCCAAGGAATTTTTTAACAAAATTTTCACGTCACTTAATTTAAACGTCGTATTATTTCGCGCTACATCTCCTTTTACCTGCGCCCAGACTAATTCGATTGGGTTAAGTTCACAGTGATAAGGTGGTAACCGTAGTACCGTTATTTGGCGATTTGTTGCCATTTCATCGATAACATATTTTTTCTGATCTTTATTAAGATTGACAAGTGTCAAAAGTTCCTTTTTCACCATATTTGTTTCAAAAGAAATGTTTTTTCCGGATAACCATTGAATTATATCGGCTTTCCTCCAAGCAGTCGTAGGCGTCCGCTCGGTCTGCCGTGAATGGTAACTGGCATTATCCATGACAATTACAGACCCCGGAGGAATAAGATCCAACATCTGTGTAAAATACTCTTCGAAAACATCTGCGTTCATGTCTTCGTGATAGTCACCTGTATTTTTAGATTCAAATAAAAGTAAACCGCCATCTACAAAACCACTGGCACTACCTATATGTGTCACTATTAATCTTCGCCCTTTACCTGAAGGTGCCTTGAACCCTGTTGAAAGTCCATCCAAAAATGCTTGTCGAAAACTTTTTACATTTTTATCTTGCCATACTTTTGTTACAGTATATCCCTCGTTGACCCAAGTTTCGTCTAGATAATAAATATTCCTCCCTTCGTCACGGAATTTTCTAATTGATCTTAAGTAGGATCTTCGCCAACAAATAATTTCATCTTTATCGATAAGAACTGACTTCCTGTTCTGCTTTTCCCAGCAAAAATTCAACTCTCGTAAGACGGCCCATAATTTGCTTCTACTGATTTTTGGCAAATCGTTGTCCTCTGAAAGTTCACTTAAAATTTTGTTTAGCGTTGGTATTTCTTTTTTAAAATAAAATGAGTGTACTTTTCTGCGAATGACATTTTTGAAGAAATCATCTATAACGACTTTTGACCTCCCTGTAGATGATTTTGGGGGATTTACAGTATCTTGTTCATTTTTTGTTTCCTTTAAAAGTCTGTAGATAGTCGATTTTCCAATCCCTGTCATTTTTGTTAGCATTAGTGTTACCCGATAATTACCTGAAACGAAATATTACCACGCCCATGGCCGGTTCTTATCTCGGGGTTTTATTACTCTCTTTCATTTCCAAACAGAGTATATTCAGATTATGAAACGTCTTGTGTAACCATCATTGTCTATCGCACGGATTTCTATGACTTACTTTATCGGTCACATGTAACGGCCGATGTACCATGGGGACTTTCCGAATCTGTATATTATTGCATTTATGAATTCCTTGGTTAATATTAGGTAGAGTTTATTAAATGTACACTTACCGTTTTCAAGATAGTTTTTGAAAAAAAAATCACAATTTCAGCTCTCTAAATGAGGCTAGATAGCGTCTAAACCATAAGAGTTATAAACCTGCAGTTTCACAGTTCGTTTTGGCATAAATAATTAATTTATCTTGTTATCTGTGAACAAAACGTGTACGTTATTCAGATTCGGAAATACTGAGACCTACATTTAATAATCTTACGAGTTAAAAAACTTTTCTTTTTCAAATAGAATGACCCATATTAATTATCATGGGTGAATGCAAAATTGAATGCCCTTTCGACTGATATAAGATTGTCCATGCTTATCTTCAACAGTTTTCCAGAAAAATCAGGTTCTTTTCTAAAGTCCGAAAAAATAGCTATGTAACAGCGTCAAGAAGGCCCTGCAAAATCACTTTTTTCTCTCATTTTATGAGGCCTGGGACTGACAGTGTCAATATTTACTGACATGTTTAAAAAGTGGATCGCCAAACAAAAGTAAACCACTAACAACAACTAAAACAAAACGCAATACGAAACAAACTGAAACTCGGAACAGCAAGGAGAAGAATACTTAGACCGCTGATTTACATCAATTGCTCCATTTTGATTAATACACAAACGAATTCGGTTTTTAAAAGACTGTTCAACATTGGTCAACATGTCGGCGTATTTCTTTGAAATGCTACTGTAATGCGTTGCCACATATCTTCCGCGGTAGTTGGTGGTGTAACGTAAACTTTGCCTTTTATAAATCCCCATAAAAAAAAGTCGCAACTTGTCATATCTGAACATCTTATGGTTAACTCACTGGTCCCCTGCGCCCAATACATCTGTTCAGAAAAGTTTCGTATAAAAACTGACGAACCGCAGCGGTATTGTGAGGTGGAGCACCATCATGTTGCATCCACATTCTTCGAGGTGTAGCTAAAGGAATGTCGCCTGACAAATCTTCTAAGGTTCTTGTTAAAACGTTTAAGTAAACTGCTCCAGTTAGATACTGGTCAAAAAAGAATGGTCCAATGACATGGGTTTCCAAAATTGCTCCCCCACACCTTCAAAGAGGCTATAAGTTGTCCGGAATTGGTGAGGATTTACTGTGTCATAATAATGGCAAATATGTCTATTAACGAAACCATTTTTATGAAAAGCAGCCTCATCAGAGAACATGATCCGTTTAAAAAAATCATCAACTTGATTTAACATCTCAAGTGCCCACTGACAAAATCCCAGTCTCCGCTGAAAGTCTACTTTTAGTAACTCTTGGTGTAATTGGATGCGATAAGGATGTACTGTGCTGTGCTTTTATAAAATCCTATGTATCGACGTTACAATTGCAAGGCCTTCTTGACTGTTACATAGCTACTTTTTCCGGACTTTAGAAAAGAACCTGATTTTTCTGGAAAACTGTTAAGAGTTAAGTGTGGACAACCTTATATTAGTCGAAAGGGAATTTTGCATTCACCCATGACAATTAATATAGGTCATTCCATTTGAAGAAAAAAAAGTTTTTCAACTCGTGTAAGATTATTAAATGTAGGTCTCAGTATTTCCGAGTCTGAATAACGTACACGTTTTGCTCACAGATGACAAGATAGAGTGATTTATGCCAAAATGAACTGTGAAAAGCGCAGGTTTCTAACTCTTACGGTTTAGACTCTATCTAGCCTCATTTAAAGAGCTAAAATCATAATTTTTTTCAAAAACAACTGATTATTTCGAAAACGGTAAGTTCTAAACACCATGTACATTTAATAAACTCTACCTTCTCTCCTCTACCAGGAATTCAAAAACGCAATAATATACAGGGTGTTCCATTTAAAATAACAAAGTTATGTAGCGCCCACGCGAAATGTAAAGCTAAAAATATTTTCTTTACATGAGCCACATGATTCCAGACAACTTTTATTAAAACCATTTTTTAAATAAATTTTACAGAGTTGCAGAAGAATCCCTCTTAGGTGGAACACTCTGTATAATATTTACTAAAAGTAATCAAATCATCGTTTCTTAGATCCGATCGTTTCCTAGTTTGCATATAAGTAATCTATTTGGGAACCTACTGTATAGGGATCTCGCATCGGAGGCCTCTAGTTGAGCTGGCGGTTTATACGGCGAATTTGGATTTTCTGAAATGTAGACATTTTGTGGTCTCAAATATATCCATGGGCTTATCTTTTTCGTCCATTCAAAACAATCCTAATCTGAAAAAGATATCATATCGTTAGTGAAAGTATAAAAAGGAGCATAAAAATAAATGCGATCATATTATAAAAGGTATTACCTTGTTAAACATTTTGACCGCTTACGTTTTATAGAAAAAGTCACATAACTTTATAGGGTGGACCCTATCTTGCGATAATAAAAAGGGCGTTTTCTTATTTGAAACTAAACTGGAGTTTTTGTGCAATGTACTGATGATTTGGAATAGAAGACATAAAACACAACACCTCAAATGAAAGATGCTGAAGTTCAAAAAGTATATAACCATGCGGAACAAGTACTCAGAATGGGTGCTATATTTAATGTCAATATATACAGGGTGCCCCGGAAATGGTGGGCAATCTCTCGGATATGAATAGATAATGAGAAAATAATGTCACAAGTTCATATAAATTTTTTTCCTCCGGGCTCACCCTGTAGAGTTATTAGCTGTTGAAGTTGAGAATTAAAAATGGTTTTTTTGTTGTAACTTTTGTATTTTTCAATAAATTTTGAAAATTTTTTGGCTGGATCTATAATTTTTGAAGCTGCTTTGGATGATAATATGAAATCCTCGATAATAATTATGGGGGCCCGGGGGCAAAACACCCCCCACCAAAATTTCTAGAAAAAAAATTTTTGTTCCACTATACCCCAAATTTTCCATCATTTTATAAAAATGTATGGTATTTTACGTAAAAAACGGTATACTTGTTGAATATCCATAAAATATAATTTTGTATAATTTTTAACGGGTACTGACAGTTTCTAAAGTGTGATTTTATAACAGTGGTCTTAAAGGTAAATCACATGACTTACTTTTAACACTAGTGCTAAAAATAATTCACTTTTACTGACAGCATGCGTTAAAATTATACCTTAATGACGTTTGTAGAAAAACAAATTTAGAGACAACGGAACTGTTTAATTTGAGACATTTTATTTAACAGAAACACAGGTTTAATCGTAGTTGGCTTTTACATATCAGAATAAAGGACAAATAATTTGCCATAGCAGTGTTCCAAATTATGAGAATTTGGACTTAACTAAACTAACTAAACGAAAAGTGCATGACAATCAAAATTTTGTAACTAATATAATTTATAATAAATTCTCAATATTAGTTCCACCTTCTCTTATACAGACGTCATTACTCGAAAACAAATGACAGTTGAAAATCGCCTTTTATCCTAAAATATGTATTTTTTAAATTAAAAATCGACCTCTTCGAGGATTTTTCCCAAAAAAATTGTTTCGTTTTTACTGAATTTATTTCATACTTTAGGCGCGTACGGTATATTACAAATATTCTGCAGTTGACTTGTTGGGTTTGACCACTGGTTGAAAAAACTATAATTTTATTCATATTCGTATCTTAAAGTCCAGTTTTAATCAGAACACTATTTTAAAAATATATTTTTCTTTATTTCACTTCCATGTGTGTTATGGTGCCACTCTCTGAAGAAAGAAGAGTAGTATGTGTTAATGTTAGTGGAAATTTCAAAATTAATGTTATTCGTTAGATTTCATAGCCTGTTTCTTCTTCATGAAGTATAAAAATTTTAATTTCACGACTTACATGTAATCATTATTTCTACTCCCATGGTGACATAACCAATTGTTAATTTCGTCTTAAATGAAACTTTCTAGGAACTATTACAATACTGATTACCAAATTTAAATAAATTATCCCTTTAGGTTGTCGTTATACAGGGTGTCCCACTAAAGTAGGTGAGGTATGATATTAGAGAAAGTATAGGCCCTAGAACTTTGGGAACAAAATTTGATAAATAACTCAACCAAGAGAAATCGCTGAAAATAGTTTTCAAGTTCGTAGCTCAGCCGCTAGTAGGCGCAATCTACATACCAAAACATGGAATTGAATTTTTCTCAGAAATGATTCCTATTTAGGTACATTAATTAGTACAAATATGGATAGTCGGATTCATTGCGCATAAATTTTGTTATTGACGTTTTGTTCTATCTCTCTGCAGAAAGGGTGGGAGAAGCGTTATTTCAAAAGAATGCCATTCTATGGATTTATCTCAAAAATATTATGCAATGCTACAGTTTTCTTTGCATAAATGAATTCGGCACAAAAAATTGATTAATATAGTATAAGATTGAAATTTCTAACGAAAATGTTGTTTATTTATTGGCGCTATTTATCCAAGTTTAGGTTGTTTCACGTTTTCTTAAAAAAAGGTAATAGTAGGATAAAACTTTTTATATGTTAGTTTGAAGAGCATAAAAGTAGCTACATTTTGACGCCAAAAAGGGTTCTATATCTTTTTTTGTTATCAAGTTATTCGCAAATTAGTGAGCAAAAAATAAATAATGATAATGAATTGAGGAACATGACGCTAACGAAAAGACATTTAATTACCAAAACAAAAGCGTTTATAAAAGAACCTACCTAAACCCACGCAAATGAGTCAGTCAATAACAATCTTGAAAATAATAACAAAAACAATAACAAACAGATATTGATATTATGTAAAGAAAGAACAATTAAATTTTAACAAAAGTAATGTTTATAAATGTTCGAAATGCGTACCATTATACTTTTTAAATTTAACACCCTGTAACTAAATGGAAACTACGCTGCTTAAGACGTGTTCATAGGAACTTTTCTTATAATAAATTGGAAAATTTTCATTAGTTTTATTATCGAAACACACTTAAGAATCACCCTGCATATGATAAAAATAATACAACTCAACATCTGGTTTCTTCCAAATTAAGTGTGTGAATCGTCGTTTTTTTTTTTTGAAATCTTGCTAAGCGGTAATATTTGCCTAACCTCGTTTGTAACACAGTAGGGTTATATTGATTTTCCCGGAGACAAAGCCTGTTCAAATAACTCAAGAGATTTTCTTCTCAATTTAGTACAGAATGAGTAGCAAACTGACAACGTATAGACAATTTGAAACCAATAAAAACCACACGACGCTTCCGGCAAAGATTCAGCTATGCAAATGTCAGCACGTCCCAATAAAAACAAACTTGCCGTAGCGAATCTCATTCAAGGAATTTCTCATTCAGAATTTCGCTTGTTGGGATGCAGTTCTACAGGGTATGATTTACTTTTACACTAACGATATAAAAAATATTCGTTTTTGATACTCAGGCCCAAATTAATAAATCTCACTAAAGTTCCACTCACTCTTATCTCATACTAAACTCACCCTAATATTAAAAATTTATTTATAGTTAGTTTATAATCTTTTTTTATACTTAGATTAAATAAAAATATTAAGCATAGGGAACATTGGTCTGGTCCACATCCTAACCTATTCTCTGGGTGTCCAATTCTGATCACCAAAACGGGAAATTACACGACTAGGAAATGGCTCATGCAGTAATTGAATTGTTTCTCGGGCTGTATGGCATGTGGCACCGTCTTGTTGAAACCATATGTCGTCTACATTATTAGGTAGCACCATTAATGCCTGACCAGCCGTATTTTCGAAGAAGAATGGTCCGATGATGCATCCAACCCAAAATTCGCACCAAACAGTGACACATTATGGATGCATTTGTTTCTTAACAATCACTAATGGATTTTCTGAACCCCAAATGCGACAATCTTGTTGACTAATGACATCAAGGTGAAAATCTAGCCTCATCTCTGAATATGATTTTGTTGTTCCATAATATATTCAACGAACTCTCTTCGCTCCACATATATATGTATAATATTTCATGAGAATGCGCTGTAGAGAGCTCCTCAAAATGTTCCAGTTATTGACCACGTTGCCGCATTGATGTTTCTAGACTCTCAGCAACACTCTCACGAATTGTTTCGATGTTTTGTGTTAAAGGACTTGTTGAAGGACGACCAAAGAGTTTAAGGTCACTAATAATTGATCCAGTCTGCCTGGATTGTTCAATTTATCTCTTCCCAGCTGTAGTTAAATCACTATTCCGACCATATTTTGTACGTAAATTGCGAACTATATAATATGGCACCTGTCAAACTTTCATTATTTTTGAAATATTGCTCAACAGTGAAAACGCATTGTTCTTTCGTGTAATGATTCAATATTCCTGAACTGTCAGCTATCACGATTTCTTTTTTTTTCGTTAGTAACACTTTATCGCACAAAATTCGAATCTTGCGTGAATTTTGGGACACCCGATATATTCCACCAGGTGGGACATATCATTAATGATTTATAATAATAAGACGAAGTTATCTTCATAATTTCGACAGTTCAGTAAGTAGATGACAACAAATTGTAAATTTATATGTTTATAGACCTCTTATATCTATTATTTTCTACATACAATTTTGTAATTATTGGTTGTCAACAATAATTAAAATATATTACCATAGAAAATAGGTTTGAGTAAGCACACAAGTTTTAAGTGTTTACTTTTATAGTCGATACCCTACAACGGTTTAATTGTACCCTCACTTTTTCTTGTTCAACTTCTGAAATAAGAATCGATCGAATTCGAAAAAGACAAACGGTACTCATCCAATGGCCATTTTGTTATTTATCTTATATCGATAATGAATTGGGGGCCACAAACGATTGGAGCTCAAACTTTAATGGGATACATTCGATTCTAATAATAATAATAGTAATAACCTTTATTAATCCTTTAGACATACATGTATAGGACAAAAGTCAGTATTAACACAAATGTTACAAATATAATACAATCCACTATATAAATGTATCAGCAAAATACTCGTTTATAGTGTAATAGGCTTTCTTGAGCTTTCTTGATTTTTTTACATTAGTTTTAAAAACTATTTCTGTCATTAATTTATAGTGAGGTGCTAGATGATTGTAAAGCTTTATTCCCATGTACAATGGAGATTTCTCAAATTTGGTAGTTTTATGCCCTGGAATGCATAACAGTCTCCATGCTTAGTCATATAGTCATAGTAGGAACCACTTTTTGCCAAATTAATCACAAATTCTCTTTGTGGGAAAGGTTAAATATGTTTAGTTTAATCTCCTAACATAACTCTGTCTTCAGTTCTTTT